CCCCCAAAACCCCAAAACCCCTCAAAATCGATATTAATGAAATTAAGAGGATCTTTGATTGATAATTAAATGATAATGAATATAATCATCTTGCATCAATCAGAGTTTTGATATTTAATTTTCTTACGACGAATGAATTCATTCCAAGAAAGAAGCCTCTGCATCCTTGATACATGGCTTGTGGTCGGTATCAAGATGAGCTGCAGCACCACCAATACCGTAATAAGTTCCCTTAGCTTAGTATGTGCAATATTAATCAGTGCATGGATCATTTCCTTATGAGTAGCATGAGAAGCCTGGGACATTAGCGTAAACCATAGTAACTCCGTGCCACCATTCCCAGTGACCATCGATCTTATCATTGAACCAAACATTGGCACAACCTCTAATAGTAACATCAGCAGTCCATGCTGTGTCGAAATCAGATTCAATAACAGTGTAAGTAGCATTTACATAAGTTTGAGATGGGACTGGAACAGTTGTTGAAATTTACCAGTTGTCAGTGTGTGTAGTAGATTGGCTTTAAGTGCTCGACATGCTGAGGGTAATACTTTCTGAGAAGCTAGTTTCAGCTAGTTCTGGGATTGATACCTTGACACTCACTGAGTTTTGATATGATAAACCTTCAGTAACAGACCATGTGCATGTTGTTGAAGTAGTGGTAGATTTTTCAAAATTGAATGATCCATCTTTAGACAATGAATTGCAGTAGTCCTGTGACAAGACTAAAGATGGTCTGGTAATCTTCTGTTTCACATCGTATTTAAGTTAGGCGACATCCATAACCTCTACTTTTCTTTGTGGCCAGTTATGGTCTTGTTATCCTTAGATGTCAACATACTTGTAGCAGCCATTATCCCTTCCATTCTGTCTGCAGATAGTGTTGAAATACTCGTTGGCTAAGTCTTGCAAGTTTTTAATGTCTGCATAACCTGCTTGGCCATAACTAGCAGAGGTAAGAGGCTCCTTGTGTGGTCCATTGAATATTCCTTAAGCAATAGAGGCAGCAGGGAAAGCCACAGCTACTAGCAATAGTGGTAATTAAGTTCTCATATTATAATTTTATTATTATATAGAACGACAAAATGAATCCATAAAACAATATAATATCAAAATTTATTTGTCATTGTCGCTAAAAATTTATCAAATTTCCTGAATGGGGTTTTGGGGTTTTGGGGTTTTGGGG